GCAGGCTGTTTTTGGTTTGCTGATCATCACTCAGGTATTTTTTTCTCCTTAAGCTCTTTCTCCATAATATCTTTCATTGAGTTGTTTCTTTGTGTCTGATTTAAACTCCTTGGATTCTTTGATGAGGTTTCTGATTGTTCTTCTAAATTCTGTGCCTTGGGGCTCATAAAGTTAATTCTCATGGGCAACATTTTGAAACAGGACTGGTGGATTTTGGATGGGAGATACTGGCTTGATGTTTCATACTATTTGCATTCTTTTGCTTTGAGATCTGGGCATGTGGACTTGTTTTGTTCTGTGTCTGATATGGACAGAACAAATTGGGGCAGAAGAGAGCATGTGCGAGTGGGTTGGGCCTAGAGGTTGGAAAGGCCTTAGGTGGTATGAATCCAGGTGGACAGATAGAATGTATGCACTAGTTCCATCCTGGAGTATGGGGTTAGTTGCTGCTGGGTGAAGGTTTTGTGTGGTATGGGATGAACTTGGGAGTTGGCAGGACAGGTCATAAGAGAAACCTAACAATTGCTTGTGATGCAGGCAGAGGTGGCCAGATTAGGCTGGGACACTGGATGTGGGACCTGGGCTAGATTTGGCAAGATTGGGACAGTGCAGAGAGGAGAGCATCAGTTAGAGTTTTGGGATCTTGTGTTAGTGTACACCTAACACTTGGCCTCCAGTCTTACTGGCCTGTGTTCTGGCATGAAGGACAGATGAACAGTGGGCCCTTAGCTGTGGTGAATGTGCTGTTTGGGAAATGTGCCAGTGTGGGAAACTTGCTGGGCCTCTGTGTCCAGCATGCAGCTTAGGGTCAGATTCTGTCCTGTCCTGTCCTGTCACAGAATCTGAGACTCTTCTTGTGCCTTAGAGGGCTGGCCTGCTCCGCCCCAGGGTCTTTCTTGGAGGCCCTTCCTAGTGAAAGCTCTGCTGGGTTGAGCTAGTAATCTTTTTGAGTACTGAAGTGTTTTCTTCGCCAGATGTCCCTCCCCCAAAACAGGGCCCTTTTGTCCTAGGGACTCATGGAAACATGAGCTGCCCATCTGCCTTTGGGGCCCAGGCTTCTCAGCTTGCAAAACAGTTGTTTGGGACAGCAAGGTGTGTGGGGGCTGGTGGCACATATATGTATATACAATTTGTGTGTGTGTGTGTGTGTGAATTTTGTTTTAGGAAACAGCAAAGTTTACACATGGGAATCAAAATACGTGGGTGCAAAAAGACACTTCAAAGACCTGTTCTAGAAGGAATGAATAAGAGAATAATGGAGTTTGCCCTCTGGTTTGTGTAAAGGGGACAGAAAAGCCCAATGAAATTCTAAGCATGTTGGTGCATGCCTATAATCCCCCCTGGTCTGTAATGGTAAGTTTAAGGACAGCTGGTAAGACCATGTCAAAAAGAAAAAGAGAAAAAAAAAAAGAATGAAAAACCCTAAAGAATGGTAGGTGAGAGAGCATCATCCGTGCTTTATACACACAGCTCAACCCCTTATTTAAATATGTTTAAGCAAGCTCATGTAATATCTGACATTTGCTCATTAGCACAGATGGAAGATCCTTGTGTTCCAGAGCTTAGTCATTTCTCAGAGTTGAGCACCTATTGGGCAGTGGCCGTAAGAGTGGATTATCAGCTTGCAGAGTTGGTGGGCAAAGGGCACTTGGCTCCAAGAATGATGATGAACAGGAGATGATGAGAAAAAAAAAATTATATACAAACGTACATACATGCATGCAAACATACACATATTATAGGTACACCTAACAAAACCAAATTATCACACTATGTTATGATAGCTTAATAGAAATCTTTGCCTAGGAACCAGAGGGTTATGTAGATATGAAGGAGTTAAAGTTTTACCGAAGTGTGCTGATTTCTGTCTGCTTGTTAAAGCCCCTACCCCTTTTGCTGAGAAAAATAAACACTGCTTGGGGGAATAATTACCACAGCTATCTTGGCAAAGGTCACTGCAGATCCTGTTTGCTAAGGAAGAGATCCTTTTACCTGCCAAAGTTTGTATGCCTTAATTACTACTGATGCTGTGGAATGAAGGGGAATCACAACCTATGCCCCGAGGCAGGTCTGGCCATCTCCTTTCAATAGGCCAATTAAAAGAGGAAATCAGAAAAAGGAGACTCATGTAATGTGGCTGTGTTGGGAAGATGCATTGGACCACTTTGTCTTTCTTCCCAGGTTGGCCACATTAAAGTTCGATAACACTAACAAATGTTTGTACACTTTGATTGCTGCTGCAGAACATCGCGGTACAAAAATGTTAGTTCCAGTAAACGTGCCTGCTGGGAATTCCTTTTGGTGGGCATGGGTCCCAGTTACCAGACCCATACAAGTTGTGAGAAATTTACAGAGTGTGTGCTTGGGTCTCAGCCTCTTCATTAAGAGTTTCTTCTGTCTCTCCGAGTGCAGGTTCTGTTCTTGCTGGTTGGAGTATCCAGTAAGGGCTGGATACACGGGCAGTTAGTATTGACTATAGTGCTGTTGGTATTCCCATAGGCAGCTCGGAGAGAGGCAGGGTGCTTCAGGGTAGTCTGGGAGATGGCATTGGGAGAGAGGACTGAGGTCAGCTGTAAGGGGAAGATGAAAGAGGAATTTGGATTCTGGCTCAAGAAAGTGGCTTTTGCGTGTAAGCTTTGCAGTGCCCCCTTTCTCTGTCTTCATTCCTCTCCTAATAGAACTACATTCCCATATCACAAATATATTGCAGTTTTGTAAGTCTTCTGCTTAACAGTTTTTCTAGGTGCGCTTGCCCATTGTGCGGGAAGGAGGTGCCAGAATCTACCTCAATATACCACTGAAGCAAAAAAAACAAAAACAAAAGCCCAAACACACAGGCACGCATGCATGCCACAGCAGCAACAGAAAGGTGCACTGTCATCTTCAGGACAAGCTCCAGGCTTTCTGTCTTTCCCAGACTGAAGCTAGCTCACTTTTCTGGTTGTGTTCTAGATCTGGGTGATTATCTAGGAGACACCTGGGACAAGAAAGCATTTACATTTTCTGAAGTTCATGATTTAACAGAATAAAATTATTTAAAAGAATTTAGAACATAAATCCCAACATACTTCAGCCACCTTTTTGAAAGATCTGGCCCTCAAAGATGAGAATCAGTCAGGAGGTACCATGAGACTGAAGGGCAAACACATGGGTTGGTATGGAGAGCAGTGAATTGAGTTTTACAAAAGGAAGCTCGTGAGTGGCAACAAAACCAGGGTACTCCAACAGCCTGGGTCAGGAGGCTCAGAGCCCCAGGTACAACACCCTCTTAGCATGTTTCACTCTCCAGGTGTGATCCTTACCCCTGCCTTCCTGCAAACACACAGTACCATCCGAAGTGATTTCATCCATTTATCTGATTGATCTCAAGCTAGTATGAAGGATGTCAGGCACATTCCCAGGCCAGGGTCTGATCATGGAGTTCCATACTATTATAATTTTTTTACTACTTGTGACATGAAGGAAACTATTTTTGGGAAACCAGTCAGGGTAGAACCATAATGGTTATGACTCAGGATGGCTACAGTCAAGTCAGGTTGAATTCAAGTATACATTCCCAGTCACAATGCCGAAGCATTTGTATTTGTAAAGATTTTATATCACCAGGGAAAAGTTAACTATTTAATAATTTATATTTTAAAAGACCTGATACCCCTGGGGAACATTTTTACCTAAATGTCTACAATTTTGTAATAGTCTAATGGATTAAAGAGATAAGCCTCAGTTATCCACCTGTGTTTCCTCAAGGAAATGCAAGGTTCAGCAAGACTGCAGGAACCTGACATTCTGCTAGCTAAGCAGGCTCTGAGCAGTCTTAGCTGTGGCAGTGTTGGGCTCTGGCTGGAAGGCTTGGGAGCCCAAGCCCTTAGTGTTGCAGTTATCTTTCCATTGTTAGGCTCTAGCTTGGTCAATGTTTCTTGAAAATTGAAGGAGGTTCCCTTTGTCCTCGTCTCCTCCTTGGGAAGATAAAATAAAATGCATAGACGTTTTGGAGGAGTTGACTGAACATGCTTCACAAGTTATAGCAATGTCAGATTCTTAGGGAGGAAAAGAACAGTGAATGCCTTCGGTCAAGTGGACCACTGGTGGGTATGCTTTCCCTCAAAACAAAACAAAACAAAACAAACAAACAAACAAAAAACAAGAGGCTTCTTGTTTGGTGGGTGAGTTGGTTGGTGGGTGGATGGGTTCTTGGGAGGGTTGCTGGGTAGGCTGGTTGGTGGGTAGGTTTGCTGGTGAGCTGGTTGGTGGGTTTGTTGGTGGGTAGCTTTATGGGTGGGCTGGTTGGTGGGTGGGTTACAATCCTGGAGCTGGAACCCAGGATGGAGCATGCTAAGCAGCTCTGAGGTCATTGTCAGGTAGAGAGAAGGTGTCATTGTATGGACCCAGAAGGTCATGCGTTCTAAATGCACATTCTCATGACCTGAAGGCAGCACACTGAGCTGTGAGGAGTAATGCAGACATGGCTGCTCTGCTCACTGGTTCAGTTCATTCTGCACTGTGTCTTCCACAAGCCAACAGGAGGCGTTGCCAGGATCAGAGTCTGCATGTATGTTCCGCTCATGGAGCTTGAAGAAACCTTCCTTTCAGACTCTGAATGGCTCAGGTGGGGGATGGAAATCTGCCTGGATTTCCACAATCTCGTGTGTCTCTGTCTGTTAATCCTCAGGTGGAAAAGCAGGTAGCCTGAGAAGCCTGAATTGTGGATTAGTTCTTGCCAATTGTGCCAATATAAAGGGCGGATGAGCCTTGTTAGGCTGAGTTTTTGCAGTCAGTTCTTACTGAAGTCAAGGGAAAACAAAGCTGCAGAAAACATGGAGCTTTCTAACACTTGTTTGGGAATGCAAATCATGTTGTTCGGGAAAAACTTCTCTTACCCAGTAGGCTGCCCTGTGCCAGTGCTGGAGCTCTGGGAGAGGCCACTGAAATTATTCCAGGAAAACCCTTGCAGCTTGGCACTACAAGGAAGTGCCTGGCCCATCATTTTCATCTCTCGCCAGGTTTCTAGGAGGACAGGTGGCCAGAAGGAAGCTGTGCCTGGCCTTGGGAGATGATTAGGTGCTGAGTTCCTGGATGCACTGCTTGCTGTTCAGGACTGTGGATTGTGCTGGGGCCTGCAGTACCCCATACCTGTGCCGGTTAGGTTGGGTGGAGATAAACAAAGCAAATAGGTCCACAGCGGCCCCAGGCTGGCTGCAGACTGAAGACTGCCTCTCCGTGCCTGCAGTTTGTCCAGCTGGGAAGGCTGCCTGTCCCTGCTAATGAGCAAGACCCTTTGAAAGCATTTTCCTCAGAGCACCAGAAGTGTGGTGAAGCTGAACTTCGTTAGTGGGAAGGGAAGGAGTGACGATGGACCTGCCTGTGGAGAAAGCTCAGGGCAAGGTGCAACAGCCTCGGGAGCGATCTCTCCTGGCAACTCTGAGTAACCCACAGGTGACATTGCTGTCCGTGAAGAAGAGGTGCTCCTTCAGGAGGAGCTTTGGGCTGGGGGGCTCAGCCAGACCGGAGTCTTCGGAGAACAACTCTCCCCGGCCTGAGGAAGAATTGTCACCGGGTGTTTTAACCAGAACCCTGGAAAGGAGTTCCCAGGTCAGTGTGCTAGAAGACTGGCTGAGGGGCTTGGGGACTGGGACTCAGTTTTCACCTCTCTCTCTCTCTCTCTCTAAGTGTGTGTGTGTGGGTGTGTGGGTGTTTGTATAGGGTCATATCGACAGGAGTCAAGTCTATGGGGTTGGGTTAAGGTGCAAGTGTGAAGTTTGGTCTTGTTGCTTTATATTTTCAGGACATTTTGTTAAGCACAAGCTTTCCAAATTACAAGCTAGACAAATGGGTCTTCCTTTCCTTCTATTTGTGATGAGCACACTACACAAATGCTCTCTCCTGTTCATACTCCCAGTTTCTTCCTTTTTCTTGTTTATAAAGTATGTTTATTATTTCGTTGATCTTAGCGTCTGAAATAAACTACTTTAAAAATGTGGCTTCAAAGCAAATAAATGTAACTTTTCTTAGGCGACAGGTCACATGTTCTTGCTGGTGGGGGCGCAGGGGCTGTACAGGGTTTGTTAAGAGTGGTGTTTTTAATGACATTTCCTAGTGGGACTGGTTGGTGGTCTATATGGTATTTTTTTTTTTTTCTTGAATAGTCCAGTGTGGGGAGTTATTTTTTTATGCTTTTATTTTTGTTGTTTTATTGTGGTTTGTTTTATTTTTATACAAGTTCTTACTCTGTAGCCCAGACTGGCCAAAAAACTTACTATATAGTCCTGAACTTTCAGAAATTCTCCTGCTTCAGGGTCCCAAGTGCTCAGGATTACAGCTAGCTATCACCACGCCTGTCCTTGTGCTCACTCATTGAAAATCCCCAAACCAAATTTTGTGAGGGTTTTTATTTTTCTTATTTTTATTGTGTGTGTGTAAGATTGGCAAATGCTGAACACCCATCATACTCCGGTGTTGACTATAGTAATATTTTATTTAAAGATTCTATATTTTGCTATCATCTCTTTAACCAGAATGCTCAGAGATACTTATGTATTTATTGATCAGAGATGAGGCTTAGCAGTAGGTGTAGATCTTGGGGCTCCCACACATGCCTCAATTATTATTATCATTATCATTATTATTATTATTATTATTATTATTATTGGTTTTTTTGAGACAGGGTTTCTCTGTGCAATAGTCCTGATTGTCCTCGAATCACTTTGTAGACCGGGCTGGCCTCAAACTCATGAAGATCCTCTTGCTTCTGCCTCCTAAATGCTAGAATTAAAGGTATATGCCACCACATCTGGCCCATGCCTCAAATTTTAATTGCTTTTCATTTCTGATGAATTTATAGACATTTCCAAGAGGCTCTTTCCAGGTTTATTCCTGGCTGGGGCATTGAAATCGGCTAGGTTGGGTAGCTCTCAGGCAGGCCAGGTGTGGATGCCACACTTAGTGTAGTTCAGTTATGTTGCTTCCCAGAGTCACTGTCCAGGCTTCTTTTTGTAGCTCTTCAAATTAAATTCAGCAGACAGGCAAACTGTCCAATCTTTTAGGACCTCAAAGAACAACAGAGCATTTATCCCGCTGCACTGTGTGGCTGGCGTCCATGAATCATAGCTGACGTTTACTTCTTTAGCAAGTGCTTAGGACAGAAGGATGGTGAACATTTTCTTGGGGAAAATGCTCGAACGTTTCTTCAGAATGCCCAGACTTTGTAAACTCAGTGTCTCTGAGGTTTGGGCTGTGATACCTCGGAACGGTCAGTGCTCATCTCTGGGCCTAGGGATTCCTCTGAATCCGGCCAGGGTAGTTAATGAAGAAGCCTTTGTAGGCACCCTTCATTTCACTGTAGGCTGTTGGGCCTGGACAGGTGAGGCTTGGACCCTCGGCATTAGATTGCTCCTTTCAAAGCTGGGAGAGGGACCCTTCCTCATTGCATTGTGAAAGCACTTTGTGAAGCATTGCAAATAAAAACCTAGGCCTTTATGTAGAATTTACAGTTCTTGTGTATATAATGGTGTCTGAATAAGTTTGAGTTATCAACAACATTATTGTTCGAGCACAGTTACAACTTCACTGTGTGTGAGTCTAGAGGGTAAAGGTCAATGTTGGATGTCTTCCTCAGTCATTTTTCCACCTCAGTTTTTAAGGTAAGATCTCACTGAACCTGGAGCTCAGCAGTCAGGCTAGACTAGCTGGCTGCATGGCTCAGGGATCTCTTCTATCTCCACGTCACTGCTGTAGGGATTACAGGTGTGTGTGTTGATGTGCTTTTAAAAAATGTTCATGCCAGGAAATCAGGGTGGTGGTGTCACACACCTATAATCCCAGCACTTAGGAGGCAGAGGCAGGTGGATCTCTTTGAGTTCGAGGTCAGACAGGTCTACAGAACAAGTGCCAGGACAGCCAAGGCTATACAGAGAGACTCTGTCTCAAAAAACAAAACAAGTATGTGCTGAGTCAAATTCAGATCTCGTGCTTACATGGCAAGTGTTTTGCCAACTGAGCTAAAGCACAGGTTATGACATTGAGTTAGTTCATTAGAAGAAACAAATTCATGGGAAACTCCCTTCCCAAACACATTTATGATGGAATGAGAGAAATATGGAAAGATAATGAAGAAAATGAAAGCAATAATTTTTTCCCTATACGTATGCCTAACTGTATGTATATGAATGTGTTTGTGTGCACTCATGTGTATTTTTAAATATGGACCAAAGCTTTGTGCCTCAGCCTCTCAAGCACTGGGATTTTATGTGTGAGCCCAGATACATGCCTGACATTTTTTAACTTAATAGTTTGTGGAACATTCTCTGTTTATATGTAGATACATCTACATTATAGGTTTCTATTCAAGTACCATTTTTAAAATTTAGCATTGTTTTGTAGAAAGAGTTTAATCTTCAAATGGGGAATTTGTAGTAGTTGGTTTATGGTCAGAAGAACCAAACTACAAGCCCATCGTCATTGACTCATCCATGGTGAGCAGTATATTGCATCCAAGCCTATGCTAGATCAAAGTCTGTGTTTTCACCGAGGAGTTGTGTGTGGCGCACACCTTGTACGTGTTACTTGCCACTTACTTCAGTCATAACCTGAAGAGGTGTCCTCATGTGTAACAGCCAAGAAAGCTCAGATTGGTTGGCTAGGTAACAAGTCCTTGAAAGAGTCAGTTCCAGGTCTGATGACAAGCCCCTGCTCTTCTGTCAACATCGAAATCCTATTTAACATCCTTGATGAGACAGGATTGTCACAGCATGAAGTACTGGAGAGCTTCTGATTCCATGGTGAATGGAAACGTAAGTTGTAGTTGCCACTTGGTTCACAAAAGACGCCAGAAGTTGCTTTGAGGAAAGCATTTAAAATTGGCTTTGGCCCAGTGGGATGGCACTTCCTGCCGAAAATTGTACCTACAACCTTCGTGTAGCCCGCAGGTCCTTCTCAGAGAAAGAAGAGAACAGACTCCTGAAAGCTGTCTTTTGATCTGCACATGAGTGCCATAGCATGCTATTTACACACACACACACACACACACACACACACACACACACACACACAGAAACAGACATACACACACACAAAATCTAATTCAAAAATTTAAATTGCTTTTTAGGTTAGTGAATTTGCTTGCTTGAATCTTGTGTTTCTTATTTAACATAGCCTACATTTTATTCAATTTAGAATTAAATTATGACTCTAAGCAAGCTTACTATGATGTGCTTGTGTTATGAACAGAAAGGGGACATTTTCCTTTTCAAAAACATTGGAACAGGCAGCTTTTGTCTGCAGAGGACGTTTTCCCCACCATGCTAGGAACTTAGAATGGCTTTCTGCTTCTTTAGACAAAGGTCTAAGCCTAGGAGAGGGACGGAAGAGTGAGCATCTCTCTGTGGACTTGGCCCTTCTTAATGCTTTTTAGAAGTCTTTGTTTTCTTCCTTACCAATTCTTCTTAGAATCCCATTACCTTCCCACTCTAGTTAAAGGAGTGGGAGTAGTTGGGTTCATTGGGGGTTGTTTTAAGTAGGTAGAGAAGTAGAAGAGGGAAGTGGAAGAGACTTTTCTACCTACTTAAAACAAACCCCCAATGAATCCAACTACTCCCACTCCTTTAACTAGAGTGGGAAGGTAATGGGATTCTGGGAAGAATTGGAGCCCTGGTTGAAAGTCTTAGCTGGAATCAAGGATTCCAGCACTGTTGACATTTGTCCAAGGCCTTTTCCCCTTCTCAGTGAAAGCCTTCAGTTTCTAGGATTCTCATCAGAAAGTCCCTGTAGCAGAACATGTCTCAACCCCTTTGGACAACCCTACTTTCTCTTATCAGATTGTAATCCCATCGTGTAATTTGTCAGAAAGAAAAAGATGAGGATTGGGCACTGGCTTAATAGGTAAGTGCTTATGGTCCCAGCATCTGTGTGAAAGATCGCTTGCGTGCGCAGGCTCTGTAGCATCTGTGATCCCAGTGCTGGGAGTCAGAGACTGGGATCCTGTGGCTTTCTGGCCAGGTAGTTTGTCTAAGTCAGTGGCCTCCAGGTTCTGGCCTATACACGAAAGGTTTTGTTTTGATTTGTTTTAATTTTAAAAAGAGAAAGAGCAAAGGAATGGTTATTGCAACCTTTTGAGGAAAGTGGTGCATATGCCTAGTGCTAAGCCACTCAACCAACCGCACTGCTCTCGAGAAGCTCGCGCCTATGTTTATAGGGGGTACTTGCCTTGAGCGCCTTCAAATTTTTAATGCGAGGGAACTCTGCTTCATGTTGGCTTGTATGGGACTTCTTTTCTGCATCGGGGCCAAGGATCTAATTTTGCCTCAGTACCTAAGAGATTAAGGGGGTTTCTCAGGCTGCTGCAGGTGACAGCATGGAGCCTGGTCTCTGCCCCTGACCCCACTGAGCGTTGCTAATGGAAATTCTGAGACAGTGGGGAGTGCCACCTGGAGAGGGTACTGCTGTCTTGGTGTTTTTATTCTGTGAATTTGTTTTGCTGATGTTGAAAATAATACATGAGATACACGCACAGACAGAGAGAGACATAGACAAGACAATCAGACAGTCACACGCAGAGAAAGTTTGTTAATTTTACTTATTAATTTTACTCACTTGGG